TCTGATAAGCTGTGAGCACTGATAACTACCACTGAACCTACAATTTCATGCTTCAAGCTTTAATGCTTTTAGTACTCTGTTTTTCAGATTTCTCATGACTCCCTGTCCTGGTAGCAAAAAAAATGCTTCTCAAAGGGAAGGGGCAGCACTAAAAACAGGCAAAGGTTCTAAATCTTCCCCACTAATGAAAAATGTTTTATTGCTGTCACTGTTACAATTACAAAAATGTCATCTCGCTTCCTTTTATTAGTGATCACACAAACCTAAAGTAAAATTTCACTTTAAAGTTCCATTCATCCTCCTCCCCCCTACTGTGCCATTATTGGCACTTTTTTTTTCTCTGAGAGCGGGCACCTTTTTTTTTACAGGTACCAGCTCCCACTTTTGCATTTCTCACCTAGGCAAGAATTGTGGAAGTTTGGGCCTTCCCCTCCTGCCCACTACCTCTTGGGACATGTTATATGTCCCAGGAGGCCGCAGGACCAGTCTGAAAACACAACATGATCTTGCACATGCACAGTGGGGAGGTGGTTGTGAAACAGCAAGAAGTCACAGCTTGCTCCAACAGGTATGCTGTTGGTGGCTGGGATCTGAAGACTGGCGCAGAACGTGTCCAAGTGAAGACAACACTGGACTCCTGAACTGGAGAATGGCTGTTTCTAAAAAGACAGCAGCTACAGTATTTGTCTTTAAGGGAGATTCTCCCCAGTGGTATCAATGACAATAAAAATCTGACAGAGGTTCTAATCTTTCCCCACTCTATCCAAAACTAAAAAAAAACATGTAGCTGGCGTGCTAATTCCAGTTAGTGATGCTGAGCTGTGGGAAAATTGGAGCTACACCCAACCGGTTTAACTTACATAAAACGTGCCACGGAAAATTAGCAAAATCAGATCTGCTTGCAAATATTTACCTTCTGAAATAGACACGTAATTTCCATCATTCCCTTGTCCTCAGATAGAAATCACTCTTTACCCATCCATGCAATGACTGTCTATTCCTATTTTTCCATTAGTCTTGCAAAGAACTGTATCCACCTGATAAAAAGATTACGATATCTCCAATTTCCCCTTGCCCATTATCTGCCCACTTGATCAGCAACGTGGGGGATTTTTGGTAAACCTAGCAAGCTTAGCATTTCACAGATTTCACATCCATTCTTCTTTTTAAAGACAAAGAGAAGTGCTGGTAATAGGTCTTAGAAAAACAAACACTTATTGGCCTGCATTGATGTGGATAAATAAATCCTCTTTAGGATAACATGGTCACCTTGGCTATCAGGCCTACTGAGTGCCTGCTGTGTTTATTTTCACTAGTGTGGCCTGTGACATGTGTCACTATAAAAGAAGGAAGACAGAGTGTGCTTCACATTGGGGATGAAGGTAATCCTTGTCAGACACGTTACCTGTCATTTTGGTAAATAGGAGCCTTTTAATGGATTACATTCAGGTTACATTTCATCGAGTTGCTGTGTACCAGATGGCTGCCTTCCCATGTGCTTTGCTGTATGGTTATCTCTGCTCCTCTGGCCATTTGCCTATTACAGTCAGGTATGCTTTGATGTGCTAATTCACAACTCTTTACTGTCCTCCTACTTGTCACTCATGCATAATTGTTTTATATTGCTTAAGTAAGGGGAAAAAGGGCTAAAATATGCCATATGTGCAAGACAGGTGCCAAAGGCCCTTGTGTAGAGAAGCAATGAGCAGTACTCCATGTGTCATTATTTCAATGCTGTCCTACTACGGAATTGAAGCAACACATTTCTAATGGCAGGTGACTTCATGATGCCAAGCCTGTCCTTTCCTGTTAGGTCTCAAACTCCTTTTCAGAGAAGTGGTGGTTGCAAAAGGCTGCTGACACATGCATTTCTGTCTCCTGCTGACGGGAGCACCAGTTCATACATCTAAACCAATGTTTGACCTTGAGCAATAGAAGACTGCTGAGTAAAGACAAAGAAAAAATATAGTATATATAGACTAGAGTCCCTTAGCTGTTTTAATCCCCGCGACATCGAAAGATTACCACTGCGGGGGTAAAGGGAGATTCTGATCCCCCTTTACCCCCGGGACAGAAGATTTCAACTAAAGCATCAGCTATCAGCAAAAGGGACACAACACAATGACTGTAAGTACAGTCCCTTGTGCTGATGTTTTTAAATATTTTAGGCTTTAATTATGGCACACATTAATTCCCCATCACCTTGTATTCCACAGTAAAATTCAGTTTAGGAGAAAAATGTAAGAGCAAGTAAAACGTTTAGCAGCACATTTTAAATATTTATTTTTGTTATTCCATATGAATGGGAGCATTTAACAAACATAACAAAAAATATTATCCCATTTTGGTTGCAAAAGTGGAAATACACTTTATGGTATTAGCACAACTTGCTCCATAGTATATCGGATTTAACAAATCTTCTGATGCTCTGTGGACTGAAATGATCACAAATTTAGGTAATGAGCCAGGTTGGGTGAAATTATTTTGAAATTCACTTATTTTGACAATTCACAATTCACTATTTTTATAAATCAACATTAGTAATGCTTGCTCCCCAGATTTCTGAAATTATTTTGACAATTCACTATTTTTATAAATCAACATTAGTAATGCTTGCTCCCCAGATTTCTACTCGTAAAAATGTACATATGTAACATATGTTACCTTTCAGAGAGAAGCGCTTTGCAAAAGTTACATTTTATTGCAGCTCTCATGGCTGTTAATTGTCCCTGGAAAGATGCCTGTGTTTTAGCCTTGGCCCTTTGTCCAAATCAAGTCCTTTTTATTGCATAGTAGATTTGGTTCTCGGTGTCTGTGGAGTATGGAATATTTCATTTAAAACAGTAGTCGTGATGCACAAGAATTGCTAAAATCCAGTTTGGCTGACTTGATGTGTGCTTAAGATCTCCCCTTTGACTGGCCCTTTGAGTCCCTTGGCTGCCTGCCTTGCGGTTAAATTGAGTAAATCCAGACCAGTAGGTAGGTATCCAAAATGCTCAGTACAAAACTGTGTGACAGCTATAACATTTACATATTGTTTTGACCAGTGACCTAAGATTTCAGGCAGCTCCATCACTCAGGGCTGCCTATACTAGAAATACTGAGCATATTCTGTGGTCACTGGCCCTGGCTTGCAGTTTGATAGCTTACACACCTTCTCTAACCAATAATAAGCCACAGGAGGTGGCAGGGGACAAATCAGAGCCAGTGGATACAGAATCTGGTCAGAATTTGGTTTATGCTGGGAAGTCACAGAAAGTGTCAGCAGACAAGCCAAACCTCTTGACTACAGTAGCTGGTCAGAATTTTGTCCTTGCTGGGAAATCACAGGATCTAGAAGGAGGCAAGCAAGAGCCACTGACTACCAAAGCTTGTTGGAATTGGTATATGTTGGGAAGCCACAGGAGGGGCAGGGGCATGCCAGAGGACGTGACTACAGAAGCTGGTCAGAATTTGGTCCATGCTGGGATGTTACAGGAAGCGTCAGGAGACAAGCCAAAGCTCTTGGCTACAGAAGCTGGTCAGAATTTTGTCCATGCTGGGAAACCACAGGATCTAGCAGGGGGCAATCCAGAGCCACTGGCTACCAAAGCTTGTTGGAATTGATATTTGTTGGGAAGCCACAGGCGGGGCAGGGGCATGTCAGAGCCCATGACTACAGAAGCTGGTCAGAATTTGGTCCAGGCTGGGATGTCACAAGGGGTGGCAGGGGGCACCACAGAGTACAAGGCACCTAAAATTTCCAGTAAACATATTTTTATCACTATGTCACGTACCTGATAGGAGACTGAAATGATGAGGTCGGCCTCACTTGTGTCACTAGCCCTGACCCCACTGGAGGTGGAACAGAGGGTGTCTAGGGACCAGGGGGACAAGAGCGCCAGTAGATGTTGTTTGCAGCTCTTGCGGTTGGTGACCTTGGAAGACTGATGAACCTCCAATTCAGGCACAGTAGTAATATGCAGAGCTGGTATGGTAGATCGCCAGGTATGCACCAGAGCAAGGCAGGAAGCTGGGATGGGAGACAGGAATAGTGTCAAAGGAATAGCCATCAACGGGCGGACAGCGAGGTACCAAATCAGAAGCAAGCCAAAGTCAGGAGCAGAGCCGAAGTCAGGAACAAGTATCAAGCAGGAGAGTAATCAGAGTCAAGTCAGGAACAAGCCGGGTCAGCAACAAGGAAATCACACAGGAAACGAGCAGGAAACGGGGAACAGCTGAAGACCAGTCAGCACAGGCAGAGGCACCTTTTAAATAGTCCATCTGGCGCCAATCTTCACCGCGCGTGTGCGCGATCATGCATTTCTGTGCACATGCGCACGTCTATTTGCCAGCCGTCTCACAGGAATTCCCTTACACACTACAGGTAGATTTAAAGTGGTTGTAAACCTCAGACATGAAATATGAACAGCGCTTATTCCTCTATAATGTGTACTTGTCTCAATTAAGAGCACTAAGTGTCATCTCTGTCTGCTGCTTTGTTCCCCTGCTCTCAGCCTGAATCACTTCTGACAATTTTTCCTGACACCAAGAGAAAAATGTTGACGGGGAGAGAGCTTCAGCAAAATAACAGCCTCAACTCTATTCCTGTGAGCTGTGTGAAGAAGGGTGTGTCCCTTCCTCTCCAATCAACTCTCAGAACTCTCCTCACTGAGCTCTACACAGTGTAACTTCAGCTCTCCGCCCCCTTTTTTCTGAACTCTCAGACAAGCTTTATAATTCAGCACATTGAACTGATGTAGAGAAGAGAGGGCTGCGGATATACAGGTACAACTTAAGTAGGAGGGATTTGTTTTATCTCTGTTTATAATCTGAGGCCAGTCACTTTACTGGGTATATGTAAGGGTTTACAACCACTTAAGATACCAAATATAAATGCATGGATTAGGATTTATGTGCATTAGTAAATAATTTGGTTTGCTAAATGTAACTCGGACATTGTGCTTTATTTCAGATACATTTACCTCTTAGTTGGAGGAGTGATTTTAGCTTGCGCTTCCATGGGGATCTATGCAGTATTAATCTTCATCCCCGCCCTTTGTCATGCAGCATTGTTTCATATTGTCAGCTGGGAGTCTGTCCATAGGTGGGCATTTCTGTTACAAATGACATGGCAGACTGGATGTCACCTATGGCTAATGTACAGACAGTATTATCTGGAGGAAACCATGCCTGTTAAGTAAGTACAATAAGCAGCAACAGGTGTTTCAAGTCTAATTCCACTCTATTTTTGTATTCAGAAAATGGGAAAAAGTGAAAATTTGGTAATGTTTTTATTTTTGTCTCTATGGAAAGATTTGTACTCACTTCCTGTCCCTAGAATATCCATACAAAATCTCCAGGATGTGGTTGTCACTAAGACGGGAAGGAAGAGACAGCAATAAAACATTTACAACCCAAAAATTGTGTTCTTGTTTATACCCCCATTGGGGTGATTTCTTATCACTTCCTGTCTCATCAGAAAGTAAAAGGAAATGCCCCCAATAGGGGCTCACAAAGCAATAAAGACCTGGTAGAGGTTCTATCCTTTCCTGCACTATCCAAAACAATATAAAATGTTTTGGCTGGAGCTGGGCTTTAAAGAAATTATATTGACCAAATGATATATATGTAATAAAATCTATACATACAGTGCATCAATTCAGCATTTTATATAATATTCTTTAGCATAATTTTGTTCTGCAGTAATAAAAAATATAATTTACCGTTTTACATAGATGGACATTTTTGGTAATATGGGCCTACAAAATAAAACTGCATAAACAGTATAGGAGGCTCAGGAGGCAACAACATATGGCAGAAAGTTTGAGATTTGCATATCATTTCATCCTATACAGGCAGTCCTTGATGAGAACAAAGGACCTCTGATGGGCTGAACTCCAAACAATCCACTTTACTGAACCAAGATAAAACCAATACAGAGAGTGAAAATACAGTGGGGGACTGGCAGGTAAACGTGTTTCACGCTAAAGACAACACTTATTCATTGGGGTAATGAATAAGCGCTGTCTTTAGTGTGAAATGCGTTTACCTTGACTCTGTATTTCCACTGTCTGTATCTTGGTTCAGTAAAGTGGATTGTTTGGAGTGCAGCCGATTAGATTTCCTTTGTTCTCATCTATGCAGCACACGGGCTGGCCTTGCACCTACAGGAGGAGTTGTGCTTGGAGATTGGGAGTCTCTCTACCTTGAGCAGTGGTAATACATATACAGACAGTCCCCAAGTTACGAACATTCGACTTACGTATGAATCATAATTACACTTCCAACTGCTTGTGCTCCACTCTGGTCTCGGAAACCTCTGAGAGGCCATATTGCTGCTCACCGCATGCTGCCAACTACTGTCTGGTGGATCTGTTCCACATTACTTTGGGGCCATAAGTGGCCAGAACTTGTGGAACTGGTGAGATATGGTTTATTATAAAACTCCCAGCTACGTCTGTTGTCCCTTGAGCCTCTTCAGGTTCCCACCAGCACTACTGGCTCCTCCCCTTTGAGCAGTACCCCCAGCGAAAGCCAATTACCGGGGGGCACCAATGCATGGTCATCAACGAGCCGCTGCTCTATGCGTTCATAAGACACATAGAGCTGCTGTTCAGGCTTGTCCTCCCCTCATTTGGCTCACTGGCTGTGATTGACAGCAGTGGTAGCCAATGCGCTCTCGCTGCTGTCTCAGCCAATGGGGAGGAAGAGTTCCCAGACAGCAATGGCTGTCAAGAACATTGCTGTATCGGAGGGGGCTCAAGTAAGGACTGGGGGGAGCTGGAGGGTCCACAGCACACAGAAGGTTTTTTACCTTCATGCATAGAATACATAAAGGTAAAAAACCTTGAGCCTTTACAATCGCTTTAGGAACAAACCTACAGAACCCAGGGACTGCCTGTATCACTGAACCTACTGATTGCTTTCATATTAGCTGCGCAAAGTGTCCAAATACTGGATATCTGTGCAGTCCTACATGCGCTAGAGGTAGGCCAAGTGCATTCAGTAATCAGCACTCAGTCACAGCCCTTGCTAGACATCCTCACCTTTTCTGCAAAAAAATTATTTGTGATGAAACTTGTGTAGGGGTGTGGCTGTTACTCAGTTCTGCTAGCACAGAACACTGGAGTCAGAAGGCACAGAGCAGTATTTTCAGTAAGAGAATTATGATTTTTAAGGTATTTTCAAGCAAAAAACCAATGACAAATCATAACATGTGGAGGCACTGGACTAAAAAGAGATAAAAAAGTTGCAAGACTTCAATAGGGTTTTTTTTATTATTATTATTATTATTATTATTATACGGGATTTACAGTATCTCACAGAAGTGAGTACACCCCTCACATTTTTGTAAATATTTTATTCTATCTTTTCATGTGACAACACTTAAGAAATGACACTTTGCTACAATGTAAAGTAGTGAGTATACAGCTTGTATAACAGTGTAAATTTGCTGTCCCCTCAAAATAACTCAACACTCAGTCATTAATGTCCAAACCGCTGGCAACAAAAGTGAGTACACCCCTAGGTGAAAATGCCCGAATTGGGCCCAAAGTGTCAATATTTTGTGTGGCCACCATTATTTTCCAGCACTGCCTTAACCTTCTTGGGCATGGAGTTCACCACAGCTTCACAGGTTGCCACTGGAGTCCTCTTCAACTCCTCCATGGTGGATGTTAGAGACCTTCCGCTCCTCCATCTTCCATTTGAGGATGCTCCGCAGATGCTCAATAGAGTTTAGGTCTGGAGGCATGCTTGGCCAGTCCATCACCTTTACCCTCAGCTTCTTTAGCAAGACAGTGGTCATCTTGGAGGTGTGTTTGGGGTCGTTATCATGTTGGAATACTGCCCTGTGACCCAGTCTCTGAAGGGAGGGGATCATGCTCTGCTTCAGTATGTCACAGTACATGTTGGCATTCATTGTTCCCTCAATGAACTATAGCTCCCCAGTGCCGGCAGCACTCATACATACCCAGACCATGACACTCCCACCACCATGCTTGACTGTAGGCAAGACACACTTATCTTTGTACTCCTCACCTGGTTGCCGCCACACACACTTGACACCATCTGAACCAAATAAGTTTATCTTGGTGTCATCAGACCACAGGACATGGTTTCAGTAATCCATGTCCTTGGTCTGCTTGTCTTCAGCAAACTGTTTGCGGGCTTTCTTGTGTATCATCTTTAGAAGAGGCTTCCTTCTGGAACGACAGCCATGCAGGCCAATTTGATGCAGTGTGCGGTGTATGGTCGGAGCACTGACAGGCGGCCCCCCCCCCCCCACCCCTTCAACTTCTGCAGCAATGCTGGCAGCACTCATACGTCTATTTCCCAAAGACAACCTCTGGATAGAACGCTGAGCACGTGCACTCAACTTCTTTGGTCGACCATGGTGAGGCCTGCTCTGAGTAGAACCTATCCTGGCAAACCACTGTATGGTCTTGGCCACCGTGCTGCAGCTCAGTTTTAGGGTCTTGGCAATTTTCTTACAGCCTAGGCCATCTTTATGTAGATCAACAATTCTTTTTTTCAGATCCTCAGAGAGTTCTTTGCCATGAGGTGCTATGTTGAACTTCCAGTGACCAGTATGAGAGAGTGAGAGCGATATTAACACCTCATTTAACACACCTGATCCCCATTCACACCTTAGACCTTGTAACACTAAGGAGTTTCATGACACAGGGGAGGGAAAATGGCTAATTGGGTCCAATTTGGACATTTTCACTTAGCGGTGTACTCACTTTTGTTGCCAGCGGTTTAGACATTAATGGCTGTGTGTTGAGTTACTTTGAGGGGACAGCAAATTTACACTGTTATACAAGCTGTACACTCACTACTTTACATTGTAGAAAAGTGTCATTTCTTCAGTGTTGTCACATGAAAAGATATATAATAAAATATTTACAAAAAATGTGAGGAGTGTACTCACTTCTGTGAGATACTGTATATAGCTTTAGGTTTATTTAGCAAATTCTTAAAGTCTAAACCAATCAAAGAGAATTTACATTTCTATACATTTGTACCCATAGGGCAGGTATTCAGGATTAATTCAGTAACCTATAACTCATGTGCTATTTGACATCTTAGTTGTAATTTATTTATTTATTTCAGGTACTTATATAGCGCTGTCAATTTACGCAGCGCTTTACACATATATATTGTACATTCACATCAGTCCATAAATCTCAAGGGGTTTACAATCTAAGGTCCCTAACTAACATTCATACATACACATACTAGGGCCAATTTAGACAGGAGCCAATGCACCTACCAACATGTCTTTGGAGTGTGGGAGGAAACTGGAGTACCCGGGGGAAACCCATGCAGGCACAGTGAGAATATGCAAACTCCAGGCGGGTAGGGTTTTGGTTGGGATTCGAACCAACGACCCCAGTACTGCTAGGTGGAAGTGCTAATCATTTAGGCACTGTTCTGCCCATATCTTCACCAATGACCCTAGTACTGCCAGGTGGAAGTGCTATTCATTTAGCCACTGTGCTTCCCATATCTTCACCAATGACCCTAGTACTGCCAAGTGGAAGTGCTATTCATTTAGCCACTGTGCTGCCCATATTTTCACCAATGACCCTAGTACTGTCAGGCAGAAGTGCTAACCATTTAGGCACACTGTTCTGCCCTGCCATAACCATCTTTCATCAAATGATCCCAGCCACGACACCACCTGCCTGGAGTTTGCATGTTCTCCCTGTGCTTCCTCCGGGTACTCCGGTTTCCTCCCACACTCCAAAGACATGCTGGTAGGTGAATTGGCTCCTAGTATGTGTATGTATGATTGTAAGTTATGGACCTTAGATTGTACGCCCCTTGAGGGTTAGGGAGTGATGTGAATGTACAATATATATGTGTAAAGCGCTGCGTAAATTGACGGCGCTATATAAGTACCTTAAATAAATAAATAGTACTGCCAGATGGAAGTGCTAACCATTTAGGCACTGTGCTGTCCATATCTTTACCAACAACCCTACTACTGCCAGGCGAAAGTGCTAACCATTTAGCCATTGTGCTGCCCATATCTTCACCAACGTCCCTAGTGCTGCCAGGTGGAAGTGCTAACCATTTAGGCACTGTGCTCTCCATATCTTCACCAATGACCCTAGTGCTGCCAAGCAGAAGTGCTAACCATTTAGGCACTGTGCTCTCCATGTCTTCACCAACGACCCTAGTGCTGCCAGGCAGAAGTGCTAACCATTTAGGCACTGTGCTGTCAACGTCTTCACCAATGACCCTAGTACTGCCAGGCAGAAGTGCTAACCATTTAGGTGCGGTGCTGTCCATATCTTCACCAACGACCTTTCCAGCAAAAATAAGACTCTGCATCATTGTAATCCTTTCTACCTCCAAATCATAAAAAAGAGACCTTTTAAAAAAAAAAAAAAAAGAAAAAAAGTTGTTTGCCTTTTTTCCCATGTTCAGTCTGCCCCCTGTCTCAGCTCCTCACCAAGGACAGGATGACATGTCAGCCTTCTCCTGTAGTCCGGGATACTGACATCACATATCTAAGGAGGCATTGCCTTTCTCACAGGCCAGGAAGATGCATCTGGTGCCACATCATCAGAGGGCAAGAATGAGAAATAGACAGTTGGCTTCTGATGATGAAGAAAAGAAAGATTTCGGCGCAGGACAGGGTGTGCAGTGGAAAAAAGAGACAATGAAGGATTCAATGGGCTTGTAACTACTGTATGTTTTATCTGGATAAACAAGCATTAAGGTAAGTGGCATACCAGAATTATTTTCATGGGGAAGACTGAAGTTCTTCTTTAAAATACATATTTATTTATTTATTTGTTTGTTTGTTTATTGTGTTGTACAAAGTGCATTGGGTACTACGTACCATATCAGCATTCCAACTAACAGGAAGCGACAGCTACTCTAGTCTGCAATGCTGTATGTGATTGCTTGCCATGAACAAAGTGCAAATTTTATCTTTAGAAATTACCCTTTTGTTTCAAACAAAGGGGCAGCATTGAACGTGACTGTTTTTAGAGTTGATTCACAATGTACTCAGAATGCTTCCTGCTCTACAATATTTGTGTGAAAAGGAAACTATAAAAAAGTAATATGAGTTGCAGAGTGATTAAACTCATGATTAAAAGTGTATCTAAGGCCAAAAGGCAAATAGACTGTGCACGTTGCAAAGTGCAGTTGTACTCGGCAGGAGCAGTTGCTCCAGAGCTTAGTGAGGCTCTGTTCACACCTATGCAGTCTGTTCTGCAGTACTTTTCGCAGTTCGATTTGCGTTTTTGTACACGTGGTTTTGACGCGTTTTGTTCAGCTCTTTTTTTTTTTAAAGTGGATTCTTTTTGTTTGCTGGGTAGAATCAAAATGCAAAACAGCAAAAACGTGGCAAAAATGCACTACCATGCATTTCAGCAGATTCTCCATTGAACTCTATTGTAGCAAAAACACTGCTTTTGCTTTTAAAAAAGTCCCTGACCCTTTCCAAACATGCAGCAGCTCAAAAAAGCATAGATGCGAACATGTCCCATAGGAAACCATTTTAAATGGACTAGTACTTTTCTGCAAAAAGCACAAAAAAACGCACTGGTGTGAACGGAGCCTAAATGAGCAGAGGTTCTGATGAATTCCACCATCCAGTCATGTGCAAGCAAAAACGTGTTCTTTTATTTTCCTTGCATGTGATTGGGTAGTCTGTGCAAAGTGAAGCTTTACCTGTTTTACTAAGCTTTGGAGCAACTGCACTTTGCAAAGTGCACAGTCTATTTGCCTTTAGTAAATCAACCCCTATGTCTCCATTGGAGAGATTTATTTTCACTTCTTCTTCCAGACAGGGAAGTTAGTGGAAATCTCTACAAAGTGAAGGGAAATGCCATCTTTGACAGTTGTTACCAGAACAGAAACCCAGATAGGTTTCCTCTCTACTCCTGTGCCAGTGACAACTATAAAATGTTGGATTTCCTCTCTACCAGGAACCAATTGGGACACATAGAAGGGTTAATTTACTAAAGGAAAATATAATTTCCTCTTAGCTTAGTGAATTTGATGAATATTTACTGTGCAAAGAATACCCAATGACTCAAAAGACATACTGGTAGGTTCATTGGATCCTGTCTAAATTGGTCATAGTATGTGTATGTATGAATTTGAGTTAGGGACCTTAGATTGGATGCCCCTTGAGGGTTAGGGACTGATGTGAATGTACAATATATATGTAAAGTGTTGCGTAAATTGACAGCGCTATATAAGTACCTGTAATAAATGACTGGCAAGGAAAATAAAAAAAAACTGTATTTTTGCTTGCACATGATTGGATGATGGAGAGGTTCCCCACATTTACTAATCTCTAGAAAATATGTCCTTGCAAAGTACAAAGCAAACAGCTTATTTCCCTTTAGCAAATCAACCCAAAAAACCCAAAACTATAAAAATATTTTGTAAATTGTAAATGTCAATTTTATTGAGTATCAGTAGAAACTAGTAAACACTTTGCTGTAGGTTTCATTCCACTCAAAAAGTCACTCTTACTTCAACTGAAACTGTATGTTCAATCTTTTAGGTTGTTCCAACACTACGTGAAAGTTTTCATTATCCATTATGATTTCTTCTTATGCTCTTGACTCAAAAAGTCACATCTCTGGCTTAGCAAATCAACCCCAAAACCCCAAAATTATAAAAATATTTTGCAAACTGTAAATGTCAATTTTATTGAGTATCAGTAGATAGTAAACTTTGCTATAGGTTACGCCAACACTCTTACATCCTAAAAGTATGTTCTCTTTTAGGTTATCTATTATGATTTCATCTCTTATGCTCTTGACTCAAAAAGTCACATCTCTGGCTTAACAAATCAACCCCAAAACTATAAAAATATTTAGCAAAATGTAAATGTCAATTTTATTGAGTATCAGTAGATAGTGAACCTTGCTATAGGTTACGCCAACACTCTTACGTCCTAAAAGTATGTTCTCTTTTAGGTTATCTATTATGATTTTTTCTCTTATGCTCTTGACTCAAAATTCACATCTCTGGCTTAACAAATCAACCCCAAAACTATAAAAATATTTTGTAAACTGTAAATGTCAATTTTATTGAGTATCAGTAGATAGTGAACCTTGCTATAGGTTACGCCAACACTCTTATGTCCTAAAAGTATGTTCTCTTTTAGGTTATCTATTATGATTTCATCTCTTATGCTCTTGACTCAAAAAGTCACATCTCTGGCTATGGATCTCCATGAACAAAAGATGACATTTACAACAAACTATTTCATGAAGGAGAAAGGTTTTCATACCGTGTGGAGGTACAATATACTAGTCATCCTTTCTTATTTCATGTTCTTCCCTGCTCTCCTGGGCGGTCCACTATGTTCATTTGTGAAGTTCCAGCAGCAGGTTGGTAAAGCTTCCTTGTGCCGTAACTTGAAGCATGCCTGGACCCTAACTAGAGGCATGACATTATTCATGTTGCTTCAGATACTTCGAGCTGTGCTTCTTGAAAAGATTACCTTCCAATGTGACCTCATGAACTGCAGACACCTAGACTGTATATATGTTATGTGGAGCACAGCGCTGATATTTAAAATGACTTATTATTCCCACTGGCTACTGGATGAAGCCTTATTTCACACAGCAGGATTTTCCATAGAATTATGTTCACACGTAAAAGTTTCCGACATCAATATCTTCACCTTAGAAACAACTAATAAAATCTCAGTGTTTGCCAGAACCTGGAACAAAAGCACAGCCATGTGGCTAAGAAGACTTGTATTTGGAAACTGCAGGACAAGACCTGTATTGTGCACATTCGCATTCTCAGCTTGGTGGCATGGACTATACCCTGGACAAATCTTTGGTTTTTTGTGCTGGGCATTGATGCTGGAGGTTGATTACAGAATACATAAGAATTTAGATTGTGATTCAAAACCCTGGTATATCCAATATCTGTTCAAAACATGTACCTGGTTGCATACACAGTTAATTATTGCATATGTCATGGCAGCCATTGAAAGCAGGACCTTAGCAAGTGTATTAGCCCTCTGTTTTTCGTACAACAGTTTTTTTCCTATTACCTATTGTATATCATTTATATTCTTAGGAAAACGTAAAAAAGGATAGGCGATCCCTGAAAACCTATCTCTTCAGGGAAGCCTATTCTGCCTTCAGCTAATAACAGAATCTTCTATTCCTCCTATCAGTTCATCCTCTACAGTTATTGCCCTTTGTTCCACCAACCCCTCCCTCTTAGATTGTAAGCTCCAAGGAGCAGGTCCCACCTAACCCTCTTGTATTGAATTGTATCATTGCAGTATTGTCTCCCTTTATATTGAAAGCACTGAGCAAACTGTTAGCGCTATATAAATCCTGTACTATAACAATAATAATATTAATATTTGATATGTTATGCCGCATTAGCATAGCAATACTGTACATTCAACCTGTAGAGTGAAGATCAATATTTTTAAAATTGCCTGATGTATAAATAGCCTAATGTACTGTATATTGCTTTATATTTTTTGAATAAGCATGTAAAAGATAAGCTGAAAATTGAACTACTGGCTAACCACAAAATATACAGATGAAAGCATATGTAAGCTGTTTTACTTGCCAAAGGGTTTGCATTTCTGTCTATCTAGTCTTCTTTTCCTCAGTAAAATAACACTTATAGGTTTTGGATAGACTTTGGGTGCCGCTTCAAGCCCTCATCCTAAGCATTGTGGTGACTCACACTTGGGTAGGGGGCTGGCATGAGAAGAGCCCGTCCCGGCTTAGTGCACACACGGGGGAGAAAAGAACAGCATGCCGCACTCCTAGAAAGCAACCCAGATATCACAGAATAAAAGTGACTTCAGCCTGGGTCCATCCAGGCCACACCTTCTTACACATTTTGCCACGCCCATAGGGCTTAGTCATAGAGGGTCTTATAAGTCTTGTTCCCTCCCCAGCCTGTGACTGGACAGTGATAGGAGATGCATCAGACCGATAACATAATTTCTGTCACTCTGCTCTTTCCTTCTATCAGCATGTTCCTTGTTAGCACATGAGAACTTCAACAAAAATGATTAGCTCCCTGTGCTGCCTCTCCCTCTCCCATTCAGAGAGGGGATTGCAAGAGGCTGATACCAGGTTAATTTCAAGTATTCCCAAAGCTTGTAAGTAGATACAGATTTATTGATGTATTCATGAATACAGATTTGCAATAATTCAAGCATTCTATATATGCCTGGGTTTCACGTCAATGTTAGAAATCCTATTGTACAGTAGTTATAGATGTATATAGGGTCAACTATGATACATATACACACATATATATATATATACAGGCTCTACTCCTGCTCAGTGGTGTTTTTTGGTTTTGTGCTACTCTAGGCAAGACTAAAATCGTGCGCCCCCTCCATCTGAATTTGTCCTTCCCTAGCCACGGCATACCGTTCACGTCTCAGGGTTTGATGAGGAAGCTGCGCCCATTCACAGGGAACAGCTGCGGCTTTCTCATCAGACCCTGAGACATGATTCGTCCAAGTGCCACATATGTGGTAAATGGGGAAGATGATGGGGTCAGCAGGGCAGAGGATGGGGTCAGCAGGACACAGGATGAGGCCAGCGGGACATAGGATGGGGTCGGCAGGGCAGAGGATGGGGTCAGCAGGTTATAGGACAGGGGTCAGTAGGGCAGAGCATGGGGTCAATGGGGAATGGGATGGGGTCAGCAGGGCACAGGATGTGGTCAGCAAGACATAGGATAGAGTCAGGAAGGCAGAGGATGGGGTCAGCAGGGTGAAGAACAGGGGTCAGTAGGACAGAGCATGGGGTCAGTGGGGCACAGGATGGGGTCAGAGGGGCAGAGGACAGGGGTATCCTGTAATATAGCATGCATCTGTGCTGTCCATTTGGTCTCTTATATAGCAGGCTGTAATTACCTGTCCTCTACCTGGCTAACAAGCAGTTTGTCTGTTGTGCAGCAGCGAGGGGATCCTCCAAATTCGATAGCTCCATAGTAGAAGCAGACCCTGATTGCCTCTGCTGCTCATCAGGCACCCAGGCAAAATACTCTAGTCTGGCTGCAGCCTACCAGCTTCTATCCCTAGAAGCACGAGGGGGGAGCAGATCGCCGCCATCTTGGCTGCACCGGGTCAGTGCCCCGGCCTCTTCTTTTATTCCTCCTGGTCATTGCTTTCATCATCGGGTACCGTTGTAAGGTGAATCGGAGGATAGAGCAGGCAGTGGGGAAGTTTACACACCGTGTCTGGCTGCTGTGGATGAGCTTCTTTGTCAAAATACAAGTGGAGACAGTGGCACCAGGCTCCCCAGAACACATTGATCTATCTGGAGGTCCTTCTTCTGACTAATTAAAGAGCTGCCTCTGCTCTTCTGCCCTCCTGAAAAATACCGCCCAAGGCAAACGCCCTGCTCCTGCTTTGCAGTGTTGTGTATTAGAGATGAGCCAAACATACCTGAGTTCAGTTCATGGCTAGTTCACAGAAAATTACCATAGTTTATGTGCCAAATCTGAGCCCCATTCAAATCAATGGGAGCTAAATGTTAAAAAACAGTAATTACCATGTTTTAGGCTGATAGCCTCTGGACTGAAGGGATAGATGGAGTGCATAATACTAGGAGTTCTGTATAGGTAGATGACGGCTGCATAGCCAGATTCCTTGTATCTGTTGCTGGTGGTTGATTTATGGGGAGGTATCGTTTTAATTCATGCATTTGGTGGGCAGGCTATGTTATGATCTTTTTCTCATGTGTCTAAGAATCAGAGTGGGACTTGCTATGTATGCTTTAGGGGCAGTTCGTAGGTACACTGTGTGCACAATTATTAGGCAAGTGAGTATTTTGACCAAATCATCATTTTTATGCATATTGTCCAAGTGCCAGCTGTATAAACTTGAATGCTTATTGGATTTAAGCATATCAGGCGATGTGTATTTGTGTACTGAGGGAGGGTGTGGCCTAAGGAGATCAACACCCTATATCAAGGTGTGCATAATTATTAGGAAGCTTTGTTTCCTCAGACAAAATGGGCCAAAAAAGAGATTTAACTTACTATGAAAAGTCAAAAATTGCAAAAAGTCTTTCAGAGGGATGCAGCACTCTTGAAATTGGTAAGATATTGGGGAGTGATCACAGAACCATCAAACGTTTTGTTGCAAATAGTCAACAGGGTCGCAAGAAACATGTTGAGAAAAAAAGATGCACATTTACTGCTAAAGATTTGAGAAGAATCAAACGTGAAGCTACCAGGAACCCATTATCCTCCAGTGCCGTCATATTTCAGAACTGAAACCTACCTGGAGTGTCCAGAAGTACAAGGTGTTCAGTGCTCAGAGACATGGCCAAGGTAAGGAAGGCTGAAACCCGACCATCACTGAACAAGACACATAAGTTGAAACGTGAAGACTAGGCCAAGAAATATCTATATACAGATTTTTCAAAGGTTTTATGGACTGATGAGATGAGAATGACTCTTGACGGACTAGATGGATGGTCCCGTGGCTGGATCAGTAACGGTAACAGAGCTCCACTTCGACTCAGATGACAGCAAGGTTGAGGTGGGGTACTGGTATGGGGTGATATTATTAAAGATGAGCTAGGACTGTTTTGGATTGAAAATAGACTAAAAAATCAACTCTCAAACCCACTGTCAGTTTTTAGAAGACACTTTCTTCAATCAGTGGTACAGGAAAAAGTCTGCATCCTTCAAGAAGACCATGATATTTTTGCAGGACAATGCTTCATCGCATGCATCAAAGTACTCCACTGCGTGGCTAGCCAGTAAAGGCCTTAAAGATGAAAGAATAATGACATGGCCCCCTTCCTTACCTGACCTAAACCCTATTAAGAACTTATAGGCCCTTCTTAAACGGGAGATTTACAGTAAAGGAAAACAGTACACCTCGCTGAACAGTGTCTGGGAGGCTGTGGTTGCTGATGCACAAAAAGTAGATCGTCAACAGATCAAGAAATTGACAGACTCTATGAATGCATGGAAGGCTTATGACTGTTATTGAAAAAAGAGTGGCTATGTTGGTCACTGATTTTCTTTTTTGAAATGTTAGAAATGTTTATTTCTAAATTTTTAGTTGTTTATTTATTATTCTTATTTTACCAGATGAAAATAAACAAGTGAGATGGGAAAATTTTGTTCTTCATTTAGTTGCATAATAATTCTGCAGACTAATAGTTGCCCAATAATTGTGTACACATAGATATTCTCCTAAGCCAAAACCTCACTTTTACTTTCTTGAATATTCAGGTTTGAGGATTATTAACATTTTGGATTGACTGTAGTTGTTCAATAATGAAATTAATCCTCAAAAATACAACTTGCCTGATAACTGTACACACAGTGTATAGGAAAGAGACTGTTTTACCAGCTCAGTGGAGAGGTAATTGTGTTTCGAGTTACGGAGCACTCAAATAGCAGCGAATATGGTGTATTTATACTTTGAAAGTCAAATTTGAGAAAACCCCACTACACAGTATGTTTGTTATGTGTTCACACACAAATGTTTTTTCCTTGTTCAGTCTTTTTATTGACAAAGAAACAAAGCATACATAGCAACAATAACATCCAGTTGACATGAAAAAATGGGTTGCTTACACAGTACAAATACAGCAAGCACAAAATTGACTCTTCCATGAAAGTGGTACAATGCATACGCTTAATCCATTGTGTAATACTATAGCAAGAAGCAGAGGCAATGAACCCCTGAAAACATATGTAATATGCTTTCCTAAATAAAGAAATGTAGTGAAAGCATTCAATCCAGGAATTTAAAGGTGCAAACTATACAGGAAAAAACTCAGGTTTCATGCTAGGGAAGAGGAAAAGAAAGGAAAAAAGAGAAAGGGAATAGAGGAGATGGAGATGAAAGAGAAGAGAGGTCAGTGACTCAAAACCTGGCCAGGGCCACAATCGTCTCACCTGGCCAAAACTCAGGAGATCACGGCTTCAGGAGGGAAGAGTCAAAGCCAGGTGGGAGGAAGTGATCCACCCAAGGTTGCCAAACTTTGGTGCTTAGGGATCATTATGATTAACATGGCCTCGATTTTACTATGCATCATGGCTTGCGTGATTCTGTTTTTGGTCTCAAAGATACTAATGCAGGCCA